AGAATGGTTTAATCCCTTAGGCATACTCCCATGTTGAAAGAAGTTTTGAACTGCAAGAATCAGATGATGACTGATAGTAGACCAAGATGATTGAAAAAATTTGGCTGTCATACCATCAGCCCCAGGGACTTTGTCTTGGTCCATTTCAAAAAGGGCAGCTTTGATTTCACTTTCTCCCACCTCCCTCAACAATCTTCTGTTCATCTCCTCTGTGATGGTAGTACTGATACCTTCCAAACTACAATGCTGATCTAATGGATTTGAAGATCTAAAGAGATCAGTAAAGTAGTTTTGAAGTTCCCTCACTATCTATGTGTCATTTCAACACCTGTTCCCCTCTGCTGTAAATAAGTTCTCCAAACTGTTGATTTTTCTTCTGCATCTCACACTAGCCTGGAAGAATCTTGAATTTTTATCTCCTTCTTTGAGCCATACAAGTCTAGATTTCTGCTTCCAGTAAAGCTCCTACTGTATGTATGCCTCAGCCATATCCTTCTTACACTTATTCCATAGCTCCCAATTGGTAATTTCTCCCTCCTCCATGATTTCCTCCATTTGTTTTTTGCATCTCTCAATAACCCCAGCAGAATTGGTTTTCATCCCCGCTTTCCATTGCAACAAGGCCTGTTTGACATTTTTAATCCTTGCCTGAATGCTGAATAATTGTGGCCCTGTCACCTGTCTACTCCACGCTTTTTCAACCACCTCCAGATATCCCTCTAGCTCAGTCCACCTCCCATCAAAAACAAACCTGCGTTTTGGAATCTCAAAGGTACCTCCAGTATCCATCAATATCATACTGTGGTTAGAAGAGAAAAGAGAAATATGTTTAATGAGGACATTTGGAGATCTAAGCAGCCAGTTAGGAGAAACCAGAAATCTGTCTAGTTTCTCCTCCACTAAATCAGACCCGCTCCTATTGTTACTCCAAGTGAATGGGTAACCAATAGTCTTAGGTTCCACAGCTCCTATGTCTCTCACCAACCCTCTAAATCTGTCAAAACTACTTTCCTCTCTAACCACCCCTCCCCTTTTTTCAGTATTATTCAGAATATCATTATAATCCCCTCCCATAAACCAAGACTCCCCCCCCAGCTCATGCTATATCTGCCTATACAGTTCCACTGAGCCCTTCTCTCCAACACATTACTACTAGCATATAAAAACACTCCCCATTGATGATCAACACTACTCTTCCAAGAAAATTTGACTTGCAAAAAAAAGTCCAAAGCAATCATTTCCAAAATAGTAATATTATCATTCCAAAACAGCAAAAGCCCTCCTTTAGTCCCTACAGGAGGTTGATGAAACCAGTTATTATTTAATTTCATTTTTTTGCAAACAGTTTCTACAAATTTGTATTTTTTCTTAGTTTCTGATAAACACACAAAATCCGGAAGGTGAAGTCTAATGACTTCTCTGATTTGGGAAATTGTAGAGGGTCCTCCCAGACCTCTACAATTCCACACACATACCTTCATTTATCACCTTGGGACCGTTTTTGGCTGGTCTCCTCCACCTAGGACTGAGTATCAACATCAAAATTTTTGGGTTTTTTACAATCTTTCTGTTGTTCCTGTTCAGGAACTTCAGATAATCTTTTCCTATTCTGATTACTATCAAAAAGAATTATCTTATCCAAACCAGGGTTTTCAATTTACATTTTATCTTGATTTTCAGAAGATGCAATCCTACTTTTTCTAACAAAAGTTTTCTTTTTCCTATTCAAAACATTTTTCCCAATGGCTGAGGCTTGAATATTAACCTCAATTAGTTGATCATCATCTGGGGGAATTTCTATTATGCCCATAGTCCCACCCTCCTCAATACTAGGTAATTCCACCCCCTCCATCACTATCTCCTTACCCTTCTCCTCTACCATCTCACTAATTACCTCACCATGCTTTTTCAATTCAACACTGCTATTCTCTCTGCTTTTTTCCACAATAGCATTCTCTCTCACTCTAGAGCTTGGGGATGAAACTAACTTCTGGATTCCCTCACTGTTAGGTTCACTAGATTGATTATCTGAGAATTTGGATTGAAAACTTCTACCCTCACTGATAAAAATAGAGGTAGTTCTCAACCAATCTCCAAATTGACCCCCATTAAACTTATTCCTCAATAAATCATCTTTCTTTGACTGGCAGCTCTTATCAGAGTGCCCAATCAATCCACAGTAAAAACAAAATGATTGGATACCTTCATACCTGAAATCCACCCACCGATTGGTGTCTCTAACTTTGATATTAGTGCCTCTCATGATCGGATCCTTCAGCTTCATTTCAACCAAAATTTTTATCAGGTGACCCTTAACACTTCCCTCTCCAGTTATCACCACATTGTGCACTCGTCCTATCTTTTTCCCAATTTTTGCTCCTGCATCTTCAGAAACCCAATGGAGTGGCAGATTCCATACTTGCACCCATATTTTGATAACCTTCTCCTCCTCGTGGAATTCCAGGTCCTCGGGATCCCATTGTTTCAAAAGAAGATATTGCCCATCGAATGACCACGTCTTACCCTCCATAACTCTGTTTTTGTCTTCCTCCGACTGAAAAACAAATTGGAATTTATTGTCTCCCAAATTCCGAACAGAGAAAGGTTGTTTCGTGGCCCATATCCCTGAAAGTGTATGCTTCATTCCGAAGAAATTAATCTTCTTTTCTCCGAAACTTTGCCCGATTAGACTTAGCTTGCAATCTCGCAGACCCCGCGCAATATCCCCATCAAGTAATTCGACATTTTCCTCTTCCATCTCCGACAATTTGATTTTCAGAAGTTTGTCGCTAATATCCTGCTCCATACTTCCAGCTACCCTTCTTGCCACTGGACCAAGAACAAGCCCAACCTACGGATGATAGACACCCCTGAAACGAGAAACCCTAATAGAAAAAACTATCGAGAGAACCCAGACACCAAAAAAAACACTACGAAAACACGGATAAACCCTAAAAACCCAAAGGCGAAGAAGGAAAGCAAACACATCTACTAAATTAGAAGAGTCTAAATCTTAGAACTGAGATCTCAGAAGAGAACTACCATCTCCAACGAGAGAACTCTAATCCCACACAGGAGAACTTATGTTTAAAATGACTTGTTAGTTGCAACATTGATTTTTGAAACAATGTAACATCAACTGATATAACATGCATAATCTTGTCACATTAGTTACAAGACTTACATCGATTGTATCAAATCCAGTAAACCAATGGTAAGGGATCGATGTTATTAGGATTATATGGATATCTTCATGGCATTAAATTTGCAATTCTAAAAAATTTCAATGGCATTAAATTTCAATGCAATTCATGGCATTAAATTTGCAAGATCCTACCAATTGTTCATCCACATAATCTGAAAGACTAAAAAAAAAAATGTTAATACATGAACCTTATATATAATTGCAGAATGTACTGAGCCTAAGTGGCAGCCTCGCATGTTTCAAAATCCTATTTGGCGAAAAAACATGCTTCGTAGTTAGGTTTGGATAAAAAAATAATATTATTCTAAATCAATAATTTTAGGTTCGGACATTCCAAAAATATTAAAAACTAACTTGGTAATTCCATAATAGTTTTACTAATATAACTCTTAAGTTGCATTAAAACCTTTGATAATGATATTGATTCACTAATATAAACTTGATTTGTTTTGGAAACTCTCAATCGACTCATTAATTTCCATAAAAACCTCAAATTAGCTTAATAAATACATATATTTAATGTTATACAATTTTAATTTGTTGTTATTATCATTTAATTTTAAAAATAATTTTCTTAACAAATACCCGTGTAGTACACGAATATTGTACTAGTTGAATTTACAATGCAACCTCAACTACTGACATGTCCCTTTCCTTAAAACAGGTGTTAGGAAGGTTCAAGAGAAATGAGCATCTCATTCTTGATGGCAACCGAAAAATAAATTGAAAACCTCTGTTTTTTTTTTCGCAACGAAAATAATATATATAGCAACTCGAAAGAGGGTTTAAAGAGTACAAAGAGGCGTGCACATAGGGACAAAACTTAACTGACCTGAAGTAGCTAAATGAAGATGGGAACAACCCACAAAAACTAGACAAAAGAAGATAACAGACAAAAACTATACTTATAGCAGACATAACCAAGCAAAGCTATAAACATGAGAAAAAAAGGAGAAAACACCAAAAGGGAAGCAACTGCAGCCTTGAGAAACAGGTAGTTACTCTGCCACTGAGCCCAGGAGCTCCTAGCTTAGTAACCACATATAATCAGTCCTTTAAGATATTAAAAGAAAGAAAAAAACAGAGTACTCAAACTAGGGGATTTTGGAGGTTAAGGTCCTCGAATTCCATCCATTCTATCCAGGTGTGATTTGCAATGTCTCTTTCTGATTTCCAATGATTGTTGAAGATCCACAGGTTCCTGTATTTCCACAGCCTCCAAAGGATGAAAGTGGAGAAGTAAATTCTGTCATTAAAGCTTTTTACCCTCTTCATGCTGCATATGTCTGTCCACCAATTTTTAAAAGTCAGGGAAGGGTTCTGCATGCCTGAGCATTCAATGCCTGCTAATTTCCAGACTTTAACAGCTCTTTGACAGGAGAAGAAGATATGCTCTAGGGACTCTTCAGTGTTTCCACAAACCTTGCAAATAGGGTCGGCATGGATTCCTTTCAGCAAGAGCTGGTCTTGTGAGCCAATGAATTTATGCCAACATCACCATAGGAAATTTTTTATTTTGTTTTTTGTTTTCATAGACCAGGTTGTTTTCCAAACCTTAGCAATGAGAGTTTTGGATGTACTCGATTCTGGAACACTTTGAGTAGCCTGTTTGCTCTTCAGAATGAGGGAGTAGGCTGATTTTACTGTAAATTTTCCAAGTTTGTGAGACCTCCATGTCAGACTATCCTTATGGTCTGGTCTGTTTAGTGCTGTGGACAGAATGAGCTGAGCTTCATGATGAGTGAATGATTGTTCAATTAGCTCCTTATCCCAGGAAGTGCCATCATGGTTCAACAAATTGCACACTTTCCCCAGCCTTTTGGAGTCTGAGATGAAGCTAGGTGTGAGGCTCAGTTTGGGGGTGCCAACTAGCCATGGATTAGACCAGGTACAGGTAGACTTCCCATCTCCTATCACTTGCAAGGTTCATTTTTTGAGATGGTGTCTGCATTTCAGCCAAGAGCTCCAAAGCCAAGAGTCTGTGGATTTATGCTTGGCCTCCCATAGTGAGCAATTATGGTAGTACTTGCCTTTAAGGACCTTTCTAATGAGTAGAATGGGGCGATTGAGCAGCCTCCACAATTGTTTTGAAATGAGTGCTTCATTAAAAAAGACTAGGCATTTAAAGCCCGGGCCTCCTTCTTTATTTGGCTTCGATAATTTATCCCATGATGCCCAGTGGATCTTTTTTCCTCCATCAGCATTCAGCCCCCACCAGAAAGATGCTGAGATTCTGTAAATTTCTATGCAAATGCACAAAGGTAGCTTGAAACAGGACATGGTGAAGGTCGGTAGAGCCTGGATGACTGAGTTTAAGAGGATTTCTTCGCCCGATTCACTTAAAAAAAACTATTTTTCCAGGAGTTAAGCTTGCTAGCTATATTGTGGAAAACAAAGCTGAAAGCTTCTTTCTTGGAGGAGCCTATACCTAGGGGAAGACTCAGGTATTTGGAGGATTGGACTGTGGAAATACCATTCAAAATGGAGCTGATCTCAGCCCTAGCAGTGGTAGAAGTGTTCTTGGAGAAATAGATTGATGATTTGGAGAGGTTTACTCTTTGACCAGAGTCAAGGCATAGATTTTCAAAATGTTAGATACGAGGGTAGCATGGAAAGGGTCTGCTTTGCAAAAAATAATTGAGTCATCTGCAAAGAAGAGGTGTGTTATAGATGGGGAGTGTTTGCTGATTTTTATGCCTTGGAATGAGTAGTGCAGGGAGGCTTGTTTGATGAGGATGAAAAAAGCTTCGGATATTATTATGAACAAATAGGGTGAGAGGGGATCACCCTGTCTAAAGCCCCTGGAAGGTTTAAGGTTTCTAAGGAGTTGGCAGTTTATGTTGAAAGCAAAAGAAGCAGAGGTGACACAGATCATGATTCAGGAAATGAATTGAGGGCAGAAACCCATTTTTTTGCAAATAACTGCAAGGAATGGCCATTCAACACTGTCAAAGGCTTTCATCATATCAAATTGAAAAACTCTGTTACAAAATGGTATTTCGTGCCACTATATTTTCAGTACATCAACGATTATTTAACTAGTCTATACATTGAAAGAAACGAGAGAAACATGTGCAGTCTCATACACGTTCAGCGTACAATAAGTAAATGGGTTTAGATGCACTTCAGTGAGGTTCCATCACAAAACCAATTAGTGGTAGGAGAAGTAGTCCACTAGCCATATAAGTTCAGACTTATTCTCCTATATAAACGATGTGAAACAACTCACAAGTGGTATTATATTCTAATACATCCCCTCACTTGTGAGTCCTTCATACGAAGAACAAGCCCAAGTAAGACTGGTAACGGGTACGTCATCGCTAGGACCTACGTAGGCCGGCTATGATACTATGCAAGAAACGGGGCGAACAATTGCGGTCCCATTCATGTGACGCGCACCATAGCAGGGTGAGCCTTGATTGAACATAGTGAGGTTACATCCCAAAGCCAATTGGTAGTAGGAGGTGTAGTACACTAGATTTATAAGTTAGGCCTATTTTTCATGTATAAACGATGTGGGATAACTCACAAGTGGTATTATATTCTAATACTCCCCCTGACTTGTAAGTCCCTCATAGGAAACCCAAGCCCACGTAGTTCGGGTAACAGGTACATCATCGTAGGTCCAACGTAGGTTGTATGATTCCATGTAAGAATCTGGGGGCATGGGGAGGCTCCTAGAGGGGGAGACATATCCACTGGGTGAAGTGGGACTTTGTTTTTTTGGCCTTTTTTCGAGGGTCGCCTTGGGATCTGCCGCTTATCGGATGTAGTCACCGCCTTCTGTTATAAACTGTGGTGGCGCTTCACGGAGGGAAAATTGCTTGGTTCAGTACCTTCACAGGAAGTACTGCCCTAAAGGTGCCAGTCACCCCTGTAGGGTGATTGCCGCTGCTCGTGATAGTAGATAGTGTAGGCGGCTCACGAAGGTAGGTAGGCGCACCCAAGAGTGCATCTTTTTACGATTCCTTAGGTGTATGAGACATTCAAAATGATAAGATTGTTTTTACAATATATTATTCACAATTTTGGGTTATGAAAATTGAGTTTAATAAACAATATTTGTCACACTGATTTATGGTTTTGCAAAACCGATGGAGCCAACAATTGGCTCCATAGTGGAGCCAACCTTCTATGTACAACAAATAAATCTACAATATTAATAAAATTATGTTAGTGTTATTTAAGTAAACATAGAATATGATAGGTTTGCTTGTTGTATATAGGGGGTTGGCTCCACTATGGAGCCAACAATTAGCTTCATAGCAAAACCGTATGTATTAATATATATTCTGGATAATGTTGTTATCTTTCAATTGGATGAAAATAACCTTCGCAACGTACTACAAAAATGGAAGCTTGATATATGTATGAATAGCAAATAAATATTCGAAAAACACACTCTTAGTTTATTCATAACTTAATTAAATAGAGTCCATAATCAATAAAATAACAAAAGGAGATATTTCTATTATTTCCATCTCAATGAATAAATTGAACTCAATATGTATGAAGTTAATAAAATGGAGTCCACACTTAAAAAGTGCCAAATCAAGATTTTTCGATTATTTTTAGTTCACATTCATCAAAAATAAAAAAAT